AAGGCCCTTTTTCTGGACCCCTCCAGCCTCAATACTCAGTCTGGCAGGGTCTGCAGCATACCTCCTCAGTTGGCACGGGTGGGCAGGCCAATCCCAGTAGACGAGATGGTCATTCTGAAAGTCCCTCAAGTTTTGACTATGTTACCAGGCCTGGGACTCCCAGGCAACTGGAACTTGCTCAGATGACTCCATTATTGAAGTGGCAATTTTTTCTCTTCCTGCTCTTATTATTTGTGGTATTTGTTAATATTTGTTAATTTGTTTTTATATTGGACATTTTTGTTTTTATTTATTGTATTATCTGATTGTTGTTTGCTGCCCAGAGTTATACATATGCCCATTTCACTTCTGTGAAATGGGCATATGTATAATATATAAAAAATAAATATGTTTGATTAACATTTCAATAATCAAGGAAGCAAATTGTTGAAATCTGAAACCAACAGATAATAGGTTTAAAAAAGGAACCTCTTCATGTTGAGGAGTTTAACAGGAATTAAGTCCCAATATGTTTGATGAGGTTTACTCCACATATAAATGTATTTAAAAGACTGCAGCCTAAATTAGTTGATGGCCATTTGTACAATTGTTAGTGGTGTAAAACGATCATTCCTCCATTGTATGCCAGGAAAGGGTCATTCTGGGACCATTGTATAACATATGCTTTGGCATAGTCACCTATATGTCTGAGCGCTGTACACAAATCTCCCTACTGCATGTGTGTGATAATTCTATCCTTGCAGAAACATGGCTTAAAAGTGCTTCTACGTGACCCATACGCCTTCACTCCAATCCTGGAGGACAGCCAGGGTGGGCAAGTTCCTCGCTCGCTGTTGCTGGGGAACAGCATGGCTGAGACACAGAAACAGATTGCCCAGTTCTCCCTAAAGGATGCCCAGGTATTTGAGGAGAACTGTTCTTGGAGGCAGAGGGGAAAGGAGCATAGAACATATCACAGCCACATGATATAAGAAATGCAAGAAGATACCTAAATATTTGTGGTGCTTGGGGTGTTGATCTGTAGGAAAAGGCTTGCTCTAGAAATCAGCTGAATAGTTTCTCTTCCTTCATTTTTGCAGGCTTTTCCCAAGTATGAGGCGTTCATGAACCGCTTGGTGACAGCCATTGACCCTCTACTTGATATCTGTCCAATGGATGTAGCTGCGCTCACCCGGGGCTCCTTGCGTCAGCGATTCAGGGCCTTGGTGGGGTTGAGAGGCCTGTTCCGTGCGGGTGAGAGACAGGTGGCCCAGGCCCCGACATTTGTGACACATACCCAGATTTCTCTTCAATGGCTGCTGTGTTGAATTACGTAGATGATTAGAATCTCACTCAACCACATAGACTTTGTACTTGAATTAACACTCTCTCCTCTTACCTTGCTGTAAGGTAAGAAGGAATAAATGGACTCTCAAGGCCAAATATATACCCTAGATTCCTTTTTTGCAGCCCTTAAAGAAATTCTGATCACATTTACTAAAATTTGGCACCCAGTTTCCAACAATTTCGAGAAGGAAATATGTGGACACTAGCATTGGCCTTCAAATAAAACCTAGCCTCGCCCACATGTGTAACCAAAAGCATTTTAACCAAAGATTCTATCTTGGAACAAAAAAACTACCATCTAGCCCTTGGAAACTACATTGGCTGATAAATTGAGGGCTGCACTCATTTGCACACTTAGTTGTACTAATACATGTGTGCACTAATGCCCAAAGAATGCACATACAAGAAGAAGACTATGCTGTATTAGTTAAGATTACTTTGCATATTCCCTAAATTTGATTGTTGAAAACAACATTTTCATAAATTGAAAATTGGCACTAACATAATAACCTCTGGAGGACTTTGTGAAGATTTTAAGCAGCAGGCATGGCATATCACCTGTATATGAACAGCAGTGGAAGATGAGAGAGAGAGAGAGACAGGGAGGAGAGGAGTTTTCCTGGTATGATCTTTTACTGGAGATCTTCTGCAGCTATAAGTCTGTCCTTGTGTGGGATGCTAAATAAAGTGGTTTCCCTTTTTGTTCTATATTTGAAAGGCATGAATCACCTTATTTCTTTGTTTATTTTCTATAGCTGTCCATCTCAAACAAGTGACTCTGGGGGAGGGGGACGATGACGAACAATAACCTTGTTTTCTTCTTGCCAGGATTTGCTTTGGGAAAACAACTTCCACAGTATTATGAGGTTCTCACAGCTCCCATTTCCAAGGTGAGTGGCACTGGTCAACCTGAAATAGGAGAACTGTTTGCACCGCTTTTTAATTTTATAACCGTATTATCTCCTTCGTTCAGGTTTTAATTTGAACTGTAAAAGTGGCCTAAGATTAGCCTAGCACCTGTGGGTCAGAGGAAGGCAATGAGTAAATAGAATTTATACAGATTCCTTCAGGGGTTCCATACAAGCTTGTTTCTCATTTTCTTCTTGCAGATTTTGGATTTCTGGTTTGAATCAGAGCCCTTAAAAGCAACATTGGCCACAGATGCGGTGATCGGTGCCATGGCTGGTCCACACACACCAGGCAGTGGGTAATAATATTGTTCTTAATTCTTATTGCTGTTTTCCAACTTAACTTCTCCTTCCTATCTCCGCACATAACATTTCTTATATCCTTTCGTATTCATCCCCAGCCTTTGTACCTTGTTGACAATCAGCAGCACTCTATATACCAGCATTGCTAGACACAAGGACAATAGCTAGTAAGTTATACCAAGCATCATTACATTTTATTTCTATAATACTCTACATTTTGGTAAGCCCTTGGGAAGTGAAGTGTTATTATTGTAATGCACACAATTACTTCAATGCATACAGTTATAAAGACTAAGCTGTATTTGAGGCAGAAGACTACAGAAGGCATACAGGAAAGACAAACCAAAGCTGCTGGCCAGCATCTACATTAAAAATAAAACTGCAGCCATCATAATATTACTTGGCAGTCCCTAATTTTTGTCCTTTCTCATAGGTATGTTTTGCTGCACCATGTCATGGGAGGATTAGAGGGGCGCAAGGGTGCTTGGGGTTATGTGTCTGGTGGCATGGGGGCACTTTCTGGATCCTTGGCTCGTGCTGCAACTGCACTTGGGGCTGAGATCTTTACTGATAAGGTGAGTAGATTGATCAAATCTTGTTCCGAGGAGTGCCGAAAAGGCCTCCAGGAAAGAGGACAAAGAACAATGAAACAAAAAAAGAGGCAGCAGAGGCAATTGTTGACTGTTACGTGGGGAACTGGGTTCTGTTTGATCCACAGGGCAAGACACAGTTATTCAGACTTGGGTTTCTTTATGGAGGGGGCAACCTGAAGTCAGGAATCCCTTCTACTACCAGATTAAGTGGACAGTTTTTACTAACCATTGTGAGAACCCATACTTACTTGCTGGTTATTTTCTTTTTCCTCCTCAGGCAGTTTCCCAGATTCTCCTGAGTGCTGATAAGAAGGTTCAAGGAGTTTGTCTCCAGGATGGAACTGAAGTGAAGAGCCACTTGGTGCTGTCCAATGCATCTCCACATCATACCTTTTTGGAGCTGACTCCACAAGTATGTTTAGTTTTCTGACAAATCATGGAAGACCATGGAAAAACATGGAGGACTTGTTAGAAAACCATCACCATCACCTTTATTTTTTCCCCATTCTCTTAAAAACCAAGGTGCCTAGAACTTGACCCAAATATTTGATGGATTTATTTGCATTCTAGTTCTGGATAAGCAATATGCATCTCTTGCAACAAGACCCAGAAGAAGGCAGTGACTACAATTTGCCTAGAAGAGAACTAGACTATGGATTCTCAGCCAAATAAGCTTGTTGAGAGTTCCTTCAATTGATATAAGAGAAAGGCTGATAATGTTTGGAAAGAGGAAGGCATTCCAAAAGGAAAGGGAGAGAAGTCTGAGCCATGTGCTCCCAGTATAATTTTCTCCATCTTCTTCCATTAGAATTCCAACTAATGCCTGGCAAATGTAAAGTGTGCCACAAGAATCTTAAGGAAGATTCTTGTAGTTCTATTAGTGTGTATTGATTAATACTTTTTTTCAGAGCAGTGGATTGCTTTCATATTAAACCCTGAACTTCTGATTGTATTGTATTCCAAAAATGGATACTGACTAGAGGCATCATTTTCTCTGCCATAAAGTCAATGAACTGCCCTATCTGAGGTGTCGGTACTAACCGAGACCCTCTTTAGTGTTTTTAATTCACTTACCATATTTTTCGGAGTATAAGATACATCTTTTTCCCTCAAAAAAGATGCTGAAAATCTGGGTGCATCTTATACACTGAATACAGCATTTTTTTTGCCTCCC